GATACCTCACACCTTAAGTTTGGACTAGCTTACGGAATCGATTAGGAAAGGGAAATTGACATAATTATAAAGAAGGAGATAAAGGAGAGATGGAGAGGAAGGGTTTTTGCATTAAGGAGTCGACGTCCCTTGCGTTTTCCGTGTTCTTTATTTCTACATTTATTTATTGTTTATCCTTTAACATTGTTCTTATGTTTCCTTTTGTCCCTTGTTCATATATGCGATTGTTTCTCTTGCTACCGTGCGACCTTCATTCATATTAGTTCTATCAATATGGCCGCGCACTTCTATTACGCGTACTGCGTCCCGTTTTTACTGCTCATCGTTTCCTTCCTTTATTAAATTTTGCTTTTTCGAGGAGTACTTCCTCCTTTCTCGTCTATATGCTGTCCTGGTGCTGTTCAGGATCTTATTTTTATTGTATTTATGTAAGAACACTAATTGAATCATCCCGCGCAATAACGATGACCGGTAAGGCGGACATCTACACAGGGGAGAGGAAAAAAGGCGACGAGTAGAAGCACGTGGCAGAATCGAAATAAGGACTGCAAGTCAAGGAATAATAGAGTGGATAATAAACATTGAATATTGTTTCTTTGATTGCAGGTAGAAGTGCAATAGAATAAGACTTAGCTTGTAAGCTCTAAAATAATAAAAATTCTTTGATTACAGAGAAACTATTCGGTTTATTTATCCGTAATTGTCCCCTGGGGGAGAATCAATAGAACTCAGAATAATCAAATTATATTTATATTGTTCTTTATTTATTTATAGTGCAGTGCGCGTTTCATTCGTGTCCCCCCCTTTTTCTTTTTTTTTCTCCCCCTCATTCATTATTAGTGGCGTGCTTGCGTTCTACCGCCATCCATTCTTACTTACGTCGTATTTAGCTTTTATGTTATATTTTTCATCTTCATTGCTTCGGTGCATATTAGTGTTTATTTATATGACAGTGTAAAAGTGTTTCTCGTAATATACATCACCATAGCTTCGTGAAAACCTTCTTTATTTTATATTTTACTGAGCGCAGTGTATCATACCTGCTATGTAACCCCATCCTTTATTACTAGTGTTTTACACCTTCTCCATCTGTTATTAACTTCTTATTTACTGTTTTTTCTTTTTTTTCCTTTTGCTCTTTGGTTTACTCTTAAAACCACCATACTACCTCTGAACTCTTTAGTAACTAATCCCTTATCCCACAGTTTTCTATGCTTTCATCAATCTATGCTTTATCTATGCTTTCCCGTATGTATTTCAGTAGAACCTATTTAATTAGATTTATTCTATACCCCTCTTTATTCTTGTGTTCCTATCTTTAAACTATTTATCACTCCAGTAGGACGAACCCTGACTCTTATTTCTATTGTTATCCACTTTTCTTTTGTGTTATTCTTTGCAACACATATTTGGATTAGTGTCTTACATTTATTCGTTGATTTACTTAGCCTTGCGATTATAATATTTAAGTATCTATCTACGCCTATATTAATTCTTTTTTTTATCCGACTTCGAAAAGGAGGAGGATACTCAATTCGATGTGTATGTATTTTTTTAATTTTTTTTTTTTATGTATGTTCACCGATTACACCGAGACGGCTGGACCAATCGGAACGAAACCTTTTGCATTTGGTAGAGTATGTCTCCCGATTGGTCCCGTTAAAAAAACATTTGGCATCTTTTCATTTCGAACGCTTTTTATTGCAAAAAACGCACTATTTCATGTACGTGCGGTGTACGTTCGCCGATTACTCAGAGACGGATGGACCAATCGGAACGAAACTTTTTGCGTCCTGTAGAGTGTAACTCCCCATTGGCCCAGTAAAAAAAATATTTTGCATTTTTTCATTCCTAACGGCTATTTCTTCTAAGTGTATGTTCGCCGATTACTCCGAGATGGATGGACCAATCGGAACGAAACATTTCGCATCTTGTAGAAAAATTCTCCCACTTGGTCCTGTCAAAGAGACATTTTGCATTTTTTCATTCCTAACCACTATTTCTTCTAAATGTATGTTCGCCGATTACTCCGAGATGGATGGACCAATCGGATCAAAAATTTTGCATCTTGTAGAGTATATTTCCGGATTGGTCTCGCAAAAACATGTTTGTATTTTTTCATTCCTAACGACTTATATCGCAAAAAACGTAATACTTCATTTATATCTTCTGGCGTTTATGCTGCAGGGAATGTACCGATTGCGATGAAACCTTTCACATTTAGTAGGAGGTATATCCGCGATGATATCACTTGCAAAAATTTATTGAATTTGTTAACAACTACTGTTCTACCAAAAAATCTACGCCTTCATGTTACTCTGCAAGAAATGTATCGTTCGCGATGAAACCTCTCATATTTGGTAGGAATTACTGGGTGTCAGGCGACTACCTCGACAGCCGTAGAAGGATGATTGCTAAGGGGATTCTAAACAACTTTTTCCTTTGCCAAATTGTTGGTTAAGGCTTGGTTTTCGAGTTAATAACAAAACCACCGACTAATACGAGCGCGTATAGAGCGCAGTCCCAGGGACTACAGTCGCGAACGAATGGCTTGGCACCCCGTTGGCATAGCACAATAAAAAAACTGAACTGGTAGAACATTTTTAATCGCTGTTTAGAACGAATACGGAACTTAATCTCTTATTGCCTGTCATAATGTAAAAAAGGAAATTCTAAGGATTCTAAACAACAAATAAAAATGTTTGAAGTGGTATAATTAATAAACGTTTGAATTGGAGGCTACGCCAATGATGCAAAATTTGAAAATAATTTAAATGAAACTTACCCATTCGTTTCTAAATTCATTCATTTATTTCTGTCCACCATTTAAATGATCGCAAAGTAAAAAGCAAGCTGAAGAGAGAAATGACACACGTTATTAAAAATGTCCCTAGACCTAGTGAGCTGCGCGAGTTAAGTGTGGTCTCTCGTGAACTGTAGTATAGTTAATCCGCAATGGGTATGTTGATTCCCGTTGAATATTGTTTACTTGAAATTATCAAATGGGTCATTTCTCACAGGTTGTCGACGCCTGAACTAGGATCTTCTTAGTAGAAGAAAAGTTTTTAATTTCGCGCCGCCTCCGAAAAGGTTGAAACGTATTTAGTATCCTATTTAACGATTAAGTAGATATTATTAATAGCTATGGAATATTGGTATAAATGAAATAGAAATTATTTGACACTTTTTAGTGCATTTCGAAGTCGGATTTTTTCTTTTGTTAAAAATTATTTCATTCAAGCCTTTTAAACGGTAATTTAAATTGCTTCCCGAGCGGACAATCCTCGCAAAAGAAATCCGCCTTACCGACCACAGTTACGCCGGTGACGACCTTGTTCTTCAACATGTCGTTGATACGATCGGTGTTTTCGTGGCCCATACGATCGTGCCACAATCGTAACGGTGCCGCGGACGTGTAATTTACTTCGTGTCACACATGAGTTATCATTAACATTTTAATCAAATTATTGTATTGTTTGATTCCTCGAGCTAACAATATTTTATCTTTCGAAAATATATTCGCGTGGTTTTGATCGATAACGATCGAGCATCCCTTCGACATGCATACGCCGGTAGAAAGCAAGTTTTTCTTGAGCGACGGTACGTATAAAACATTATCGATAACCCCATCGAGCTATTCGTTGTTGATCAATCTCTTTATAAGAATTTTACCGCGGCCTTGAATGTTCGCTTTTGTTTCAACACTGAGGTAAACGTACTCGCCTCGGTAAGGCACGAAATCGCGGAACCACTCTCGACGGCACGACATATGGCGCGACGCACCACTATCCAATATCCAAGAATCCCCGTCGTCGGTCTCATGCAAACAAACGTTTTTCTGACCGGCTTCTAAAGAGCTCGGGTTAACAGCGACGGAATCTTCGCTATTTCCGGAAACTACAAACGCAGTGAAGTTCGTGGAATTTTGGTTACTTTTTTGATTTTTATCGCCGTTATTTGAGTTTTTATTCGCGCTTTTAGATCGCTTTGCAGCATAACAGAAACGCGCGAGGTTACCGCTTTTTTTACAAAAATTACACGTCATATTTTTCTTACGCTGATCTACGTTGTTGCCGCTGCACTGGGTCGACGGTCATTTTTCTGTTGCTTGGAGATGCTGACGGTGGCAAGGGCGCTGTCCACGGTGTCCATCGCTGTCATTCGGTTTTCTTCTCGCAGCAATCTTTCCCTCAAATTGGCCAGCGTTTGATTGGCTTCGGCGATGCTCTCCTATGCAGAGACGAATGCGTTGTATTTGGCTGGCAGCGTGCTCAACATCTTTGCCATAATCATTGTGTCCGACACGGTTTCATCGATGTCCTTTAATTGACGGGCGAGATTCTCGACCTTGGCCAAGTGTCGCGGTATAGAGTCCCCGGGTGTCATATGATATTCATGAAATTTTGTAGTAAGCGCCAGCTTGTTCGACGCACATTTTTGCTCGTGAATACCGGAAAGTTTGTCCCACATTTCACGCGCACTGAAACACGCTACGAGATACTCTAACTGGTTGTATTCCATGGACGCGGATAGAAAAAACATGGCTTTCGCATTTTTCTTGACCCACGCGGTCCTTTGCGTCGCGTTTTCATTCGTAGCCGACTCTGGCTTTGTCTCTCTCCCTTCCACGATGTCCGGGATATCGTGGGCGATAAAAATGGTTCGCATCTGGAATTTCCAGAGTTGATAGTTCTGTCCATTGAACTTTGAAATGTTTCTCAAATCCGACGTGTTCGCCATTGTTCGTCTATCATTCGAAAGAAGCTTCTCAAACAGGCAAAAAACAGGCACGCGAAACACGTTACGCAGAAAAAGAAAAGTTTCACGATTATTGTCGGCACTGACCAAAGCAAAAGTTCAATCACTCTGGGCCTATAACCTGTTAAAGGCAAGGGTTGGATGAAATAATGCACGACAGTTCAAAAAAGGTAATTTAATCACCAGAAATATAATATAGGTTGTCTGCGACGCACATGTCCGGCGAAAGCGATCGAGAGACAATAATAAAACAAAAGTGCGCTAGCAGCGCTCGCTACGGTGCGACACACCGCGCCTCCCCCTTTCCTGCTTCTTAGCAAAATCCGGCGGCGACGTCGAACGCGCCAAGTATGAACACGCGTATTAATTTGTCGGTCCAACAATTATGCTTACCATTATTTATTGTTTTTCCTTCTTGGATCTATCCTCAGCTAATTATCTTGACTTATAACTAGATATTAACTAGATCTTCTTTTGTGGAGGTATGGTATTCTTTCATGATAGGTTGGTATAATTTTCTGAAATTTCAATATTTTGTCTTGTTACTGATTCTGGCATGTTCGGTTTATTATTTGCTTATCTTTAAGAATACCTGTTCATTGCAAGGTGGTTTGGTTATATGTAATAGAAGTTTTAATCGATTCTTAACCTGTATTATCTTGGCGGCTCAGGAGGTGTTTTCTGCTGATTCAGCATTTTAATCTAGTTCCATCTTATTTCTAGTCGTTCTTCTGGTTGTCACCTTGATAGATTTGATGAATAGATTATGAAGAGTTTTGCACTCGTACGTACATTATTCTATATATGTGTGCTGCACCTTTTCCTTTGTGGTGATCTTCTTCTCCTTTCTTTATTTTGTGCCAATGCATGGTGCTTATTTGGTATTAAAATCCGATGTTTTTGGCTATCCTTTGTCTCATTCATTTTATTTACTTCTGGTATACTTATACTTATCAGTTTTCTATGATTTACTTTCTTCTTCTCCTATTTATTGTTGATTGTTACTCTAACTTGGCTAAGTCTTGGTTTTGATTCCATCTAGTTGATCTGAAATGGGTGAGAAGTTTTGAGGTTAATATTTGTTGATGTTGATTGTTAATGGGTTGGTTTGTTTCTTACCTGTAGGATTTTGTTAATGAATAATGTTTGTTTTGTTTTACTCCTGGTAGTGGTGTTATGCAGTTTGCACTTTTGCCGCCGAGTTTAATCTAGCTGATGTTGACTGACATTTGCTATTTGCTGCTTGGCACCTTTTATTTCATTCCACACCATTGCATTGGTTGATTTTATAGTTTATTTAAATTCTTCCATTTTATCGCAAATCTGGTTTTATTCGCAACAGTGCGATGATATTACACGCTAAATATTCTTAGCAGTTCGCTGTCTGCTCCTTGATTTGACCTTCAGCGTTTGACGTTTTGCTGTTTGATTATTTGTCCACGTTATGTCGGGTTCACATATATTTCTTGTTTCTTATGTCTAGTTCACATATTTCTTATTATTTTGTCCTTCTTTTATTAACTGCTCTGTTTTACTTTGAATTATCAATTAATTTTAACTGGCCTTGTTTGGCTTGAGTTAGATACATGTTTAGTTGTTTAATTAATCAAGGAATTGGTTTTTTCGGGATACTGTGGCCGGGTTGTAGATAGAAAACACCACAGTTATCATATACTTTAACAAACGAACTTTATTCGAGTTGACATGCTTCAATCAGTCACGTGCCTATGCTTAACAAACGGAAGGTAATGGCCGATGCCGATTGCTCTAGGGAACGTTACTATTGCAGAAGGCCCCAGGCTATATGTGACTCTAGAGAGTCAACTCAGGCACGGTAGCGTAACGCTGTTGGCGCAGTAGCGCCACAATACCAGTTCCAATTCTTCCCTCTGGTGTTGATAATGCAGCAACCAGAAGTTATTTTACAGTAGCTGGCTGGATTATTTTCATTGCCTTGCGGCTAAACAGTGTAGCTGGATGTTCATTGATTATCGTCGATCATCAATACCAACTTGAGATAGTGGTTATTATTGTTACGTGGCGCTGTATGTTCTATTCGCGGTGATATGCAAGCTGGATCGACTGCTGGTGGTAACCCTCCAATGGTCGCCTAATATTGGCCTTTGAAGTTCTGCTTTAACTTTTATTATTGTTTGTTAGCGTCGCGCGATTGCATGTGCTCGAGCGGTTGGTTTTAAATTTGGCGCTGCGCGAGGGTGTGCGGTTGGATGTTGTCACGCGACGCTGCGCAGGCGCGAGCGGCGTGTCGATGGTGGTGGCGGGGTATGGCCCGGGACCGGGCCCGCGCATTGAACCGTGATCGGTCAATTTGTGCGGGTGTTTCCCCAGAGTTTTTCTGAGTTTTCCGAATTTTGTAAAAGAGCGAATTGTGGTTTCGATCTGAGACTGGTGGTGTTCGTTGACGGGCGCTGTGGCTGTCGGGCGTGTGTCCTATTGTTGAAGCACTAGGTGCTGTCATTTATCTGCACGGCCGGGCGATCTTGTGGGTGGTTCAAACAGCTAACTGTGCGCACAGTTTGGCGATCGGTTGATTCTGCCCACCTGGCTAGCCGTGCAGTTAGTGGTGCGTTTTTACGGCCACTTTGTCCTCTTTGCCGGGACGCCTCCTGTGATCAGGGTTTGTGTTTTTTTGGTAAGGACCACGATGATTTGTTGCGACGTCAACGAGACAACATCCGACACGATTGGTAAGAGAGCTCTCGATTGCGCGAATACATAACAGTGTGAATGATTATGCAAGTGCATGGTAGCTTTAATATCTAGTTTAATTCACGTTTTATACTTACTATATTTTGTCTTATCAATTTAATTTATATATTCCTTTAGTCTAATTTGTTTGCTGGGACTAGGCTTTTTCCCCACTTTCGACTGGGGGTTTTTACAGCCGGTACCCGTAGAGTAGAGTCAGTTAAGTTTTGAGTTATTAAAGTTATTTTTATTTTTTAACTATATATCATTTGTCTTATTTATTTACCGGTGACGCCAATTCCACCTCATGTCTTTCCTCATTTTATTGTAACTCCGAATAGTCGGAACATTGTTTTATTGTTATCATTGGTTTTACTTAATTTGCGCAATTATATTTTGTTGATAATTGACTTTGGTCACTGTCTTATTTGTTCTATTTATCCGGTGTCTGTATTTAATGTCTTATGCAGCGTCACGGTAGTATAATGTTTAATTATTTGCACAGTTAACTTATTGTTCTATCGTTCCATTTGATTTTATTCATCATGTTTTATTTTTGGCTGTATATTATGTCGGATCCATATTCTTTCTGCTGGGTCCGCCTTTTGTTTCTTTTGTCAAATGTCTGTTTATTTTGAGGTCTTATTTTGATTGATTTCGATCCGTTTGATTGGTTCTATGTGAAACCCGAGCGATATTTGTTGTTCGAATTGATTTCAGTCATCGTTTTACTAGCCCTTATTTTGGCAATTGGTCTCCTGTTGGTATTGTATAATAATTTATTTACGCAAATACGATACTGCAATGTGCCTAGTTACGTACTCGATTATGTTTCTTGCTCTGGCTTATTTAATATACTTATTTTGGTATTTAGCTTACCTTTTATCTTAGTATCATTTTATCTTTATTTATTTATAGCCGTATTGTGGAATTTTTATATTTATTAACTTATGCAATTTTACATTTGTTGTTCGATTCATTGCATTCATTTTGACTTTGACTCCGCCTTGCATTATTATGAATTAACATTTCTTCTAATGATTTAATTGTGTTTATTATTTTATTGTTATTTATCTTCTATTTACCATATGTTTCTGAGTTCTTTTATTTTATCTGCTTATTTATTGATTTATTATTATTGTGTCACGTCTGGGAAAATTTTACAAATTTGTCCGCCTCACGTGCCCTTATCAAGCCTTCGGGTTGTAGCAGTCTTCTCATGTAAGGGGCGTGAGGAGGGTGAATTACAACTTCATCGTTTCAATTTACTCCTCGACTCTGTGCTTTCCCATCAAGCCTTCGGGTTGTAAGAGACTTCTTCATGTGGGAAATGCACAGGGAAGAGTTTGAGCTTATAATTATTCTATTTTTGTCTTTTCTTTCCTTTAGTTCTCTTCTCATTTCTCCATTCTTTTCTTTAGTTTATTACCCCTCCTTGAAACTATCGTCGTGCTCAACTGCGTAGTAACAGAATTCGGGATAGAAAAACTCGTTCTCAACTGAGGAGAGGTATCATAAACAGCGTTCGCTGCACAGTTAGCCAGTGCTTCGCATTGTAGGGTCTCCTCGGGTTAACTGCGCAAAAGCGTAAAGATCAATTTATCTTTTGGATTTCAACCGATACTCTCTTTTTCACGCGTAGGCGCCAGTCGGTCCCCAACCCGATCGTATGTATGAATTGAATGCTGTAATGAAAGCGCGAGATAGCTCAGCAATTTGAATATTTGTTTGAATGAAAGAGTGATGAATGAGAACCCTCAGAAGCGAGCGTTAGCAAGCGTTCGAAGACTGTTTAGAGGCGAAGGGTCGAATGGGGCAATAAAAGTCTTTGTACCGAATTCCGAGAATTTGCCTGAAACTAAGACCCAGCGGTAGACTTCAAATAGCAAGAATGTTCACGAACGAATTTCGCTACAAGCGTAAAAACGAATATTCGATTAAAGTATATTTAGTAAGTGAAGATTATAATAATTGAATGCTGTATTTACACACCAATTGCTATCGTAATCCCCACAGCGTGTGTATCAGCAATTCGTACTGCGAATAAAATGATTATGAAAAAGCCAATTGTTAATCACTAATTCGTTATTCAAGCATAATGGTACAACGTTGTAATTCATATTCATAATTATTTACATTCTTAAAGTTCAACAGTTCCGATTTAAACTATAGTTGATAATCGATATTTGATATCGAAATTATCACTGAGAATAGAACATTCCAGAAATTCCACAGCGTAGAAACACCGAAAAGCCGTTAGACAGAGATGGAACACCAGAAGAGAGAGAAAGTATGATCTAGTGGAATTTAGCTAGCACGCGCCCCTGGCCAATAGCGACACGCGCGACGCTGTCGTTACGCGCTATGATTTGTCGAGATGTCCCCACGCAGGACATTGTCCTCGTGACGGGCCCTTCCGCCTAGGATCGCGATCGATTCTGATCACTCTTCGTCGAACAATCGAGTAAGTCGTGACGGGAGCCCGTGCGTCTAGAGATAGAGTTGCTGTTCGTACTTCGTTGTAATTTAGCCTGCGCGGCAAGACCTACGAATTAGGCAGAGTGTCGCGAGAGTGAAATTTCGAATACGCGGCAAAGACTCAGAGACGCGCACGTTAAGCCTTTTCACACTTCTAAATTTCTATCTTTTCTCTTTCTTTTAATCCGTTCGATCACGTAATTTCTCGTATTAAATTCATCACGTTTAATTATTTAAAATTTTTTCGAATTTCGTAAACGTCTATGTGAACGTCTTGCTTAATTGTTAATCGTAATACAATCGGCAACCGCGCGCGCGACAAGTGCGAGTATAACAACGATCCGATCATCTCTCTTGGTGTTCCAGATTTCACAGCGATTTATTCAACGAGCATACAGCGATTCACAAAGCGATTTTTATCGTATATCATATTCAACGTTCTCACGGTAAGCCTCTGCTGTACTAATTTGTCGAGCACGGCATTGTAATTGATTTTTCAACAAGGCAAAACGGGCGATCTATTAAGCCTACGGGTTATAAAAGTCTCTTCATTTTAGATGGTCTTGTTTTCCACGTTCAGGTACTGAACCGTATATTATACATTATATTAATATTTCGAATTTTCATCCATCGCGATTTTGTGTATGACGATTGCTTCGATTTCAATACTTTATCAGGGACGATCTGGAAAGCCCTTTCGGGGGTTGTAAGAGCCTCTTTATTCAGATCGTTTCGTTCCGGGTAGACACCGCCAAGTTTCATTTTTCTATTTGATCGAGCCAATCGTCTAACGTTCAAATATTCCGATAAAAACCCGTCCTCACTATATTAGAAATAATCACGTCATAAGAAGGGAAACGAGCGCACAAATTTAATTCCATGTCCAATTGATACTCTGCGCAATTTTTACGCTGCCCAACTGAACTGTGCGATATTCTGCACGTGCGCAATAGAGCTGTGCCCAATTCTTAGTGTGCCCAATAATACTGTGTCCAAAGGAGCTGTGCGCAATCGTCCCCCTCTAGTCGAATAGTGTGACAAGGGGATCACCTGCGCGTGCGTAAGCGCATTTCCTCTTCCAATATAAACTAAAAAAAAAAGAGGCTTCCGTGGCGGTTACGCTTGAGGTCGTGGTCGCTTCTTCGGCCGCCATTCAACGCTTAGCTCTGAACTGGCACGGACTAGGGGAATCCGACTGTCTAATTAAAACAAAGCATTGCGATTGCCCTCACGGGTGATGACGCAATGTGATTTCTGCCCAGTGCTCTGAATGTCAACGTGAAGAAATTCAAAAATGCGCGTGTAAACGGCGGGAGTTTTATACTATGACTCGCTTAAGGTAACCATATTATTGTCATCCCTATTCCCAGCTTATGGCAGGTGCTACCCCCGAGTACTATCGTTGGAAAGGGCTCGAAGTGTACATGTACCCAAAAATACAAAATTTCAAAAATCGTGGTGGGGGAAATTTTTTTTTTTAATTTTTGAAAAAAAAGCGCCGAATTATTTTTTTGGGCTCGTGAAAATGCTCAGGCGACACCCTAAAAGTAGCTATTTTTTTCGTTGCTGTAGCTTTAAATTTGAATTATATAGGGCGTTCCAAAAAAAGAGGTACCACGATATATCTCAGAAACTATGAACTTTGGAGAGAAAAGTTTCGGACGAAAGTTGTAGGGTTTCAGAGGCTGCATCCTACAGTATCCTCTGTGTTGACCCCGATGTCACGGGTCAAGGTCAGTA